CAAACTAGTCATTCCAGCTCCAGATTGAAATTGTATCTGGAGCTGGCTCCAGATTCGCCAATCTGGAGCTGCCAATCTGGAGCTGTCTGGCTCGTCATCTGATGAAAACGTTTTGAAAACATGTATAAAGCAGCAGTACTCTATAGTCAGCGGCTTTATTACTCAATAGACAAAAAATACTGTCCAGGGGAGGGGCAGATATTAACAAAAAGGAAAACAAAACAGTTTGTTGTATATATTTTTCCATTGCTAAGGCGAAAAACAATAGCTAGGGCTTCAAAAAACATAATTGTTTTATTTCTTTTCATCCTATCACAAACCTTTTTTGCCACATCATTGAAACATTATTTATGATTCAATTTATGCATAATTTAAAAATGGTCCGAGGCCTTCATTTTGGGTGTAAGACCACCTTATTAAAATGTAAAATTCAACCACAAACGCTTCACAAAACATTCGATTAAATGTTCTTAAAACTAAACTGCTCCATTCTTTTAGACGTTTTTAGATTGAAATTGACAAAATCTTGCAAGAAATGTTTGTTATTTCACTGTCGTCATGCAGTAACGACAGTCTGATACATATTTTGAGATCAGTGAGGATGACCTCCCACTCAACACCATTGGTGAGCCACGCCTGCGATCACTGATGAACTTTAGACTTCGCTAATGCTTTCGTTTCCCCGGGTGTAAATAGCCGGGGAGAATTAGTACCCTGGTGACACAGATGGTGTTATCAACCATACGTCTACGCTCAAAGTATCTGTCAAGGTGTCGTGGTGGAACATTACTTAGACGAAGAGAGTCAAATATCGCAAAGTGAGATGGAGAGTGAAGATGAAGTCTTGGATGACCTGTTGTTAAAGAATCACAAAAAGGTGACTAGACTGAAAGAGATTTATAACATTATGTGTATGTTGCAAAACACCTTGTGTTCTAGTACACAAACCTGGTATGAGAATTTGCCGCCACTTTCACCCGACATCACTGGAGAAAGCGTTATGAAGTTAGGTACGCCACTCATTTTTTATTTCATTGCATGGCTCCTTGGATTTTTAGAAGACCCAGAAGCGTCGGAGTATGTTGAAGTTAATGAGAAGCAAGCTGTGAAGATTGTTTCTATATGCGCAAATCTCTAGCATTATCTGATAAATATGATTAATATAATATGATTCTGCGCTTGCACAGTTAACCATAAATACGTCAAATGTTATCCCAAGGAACTTTGTGGCAGAGGAGTATTTTAACCTTGTGTATGACAATATCGATTGCAAAGGGATTGCAAAGCAAACACATATTACAAATGGGATTATTTTTTCCAGAGATGGCCGTACAGATTCACCAAGAAGTCACAACAAACTGTGGAAGTGCCTAACTGTGTCATTGTGGAACACAGCCTTGGAATGAAAAAGACGGCAACTTTCCATGAAATCCATCAAGACGCCCAGCCTATGTCCATTGCATTGAGAGATGCAGGAAGAACAGCTTACAAGCTCGATTTGGCTTATGTCCTCAGCAACATGGTTTGTGCCAATGACAAAACACCACTGCCGGGATGGACTGGCTTCAACACCATGCTTCATGAAGAAATACCCGATGTTCAAAGTGTGGGTTACCTTCCAGTTATTAATGCATTGCCTATTGAATATGCCACCATTAAAGAAATTCTTCAACAAAGCAAGAGCATCATAGAATAACTGAAATTGAAGTATGCTGTCTTGGTTTTTGACAAGGTTGTATATTCAAAAATCCAGCATGTTCGATGGAAAGAACACAAATATTATGACAAGTTTGTCGTATGGCTAGGTGATTTCCACACCATCATGTCTTTTCTGTCTGCATTGTTGAAGATTTTTGAAGATGGAGGACTTAAGGTATTACTTCGCCATGTTTTCTTTCTAATACAATTTCAATCAATTTTCTAATTTGTGATTACCAACTGGAGGTAATTGTGTTATTTTTTCTATAAATACCACTGATTAGTTCCGATGTCAGCATTGCTTTTTCTTGAACTTTTACAGATGCTAAAGAAATTGTTTGGCAAGGAAAATTGACTGAAATTGTATTCAAAGGAAATACTTGTGTTTGGCAAAATACTGATAATATCGCTCATGCTTAACACATGTGTGATTTCTCATTAATTCTTCCTGGACAGTGTCATAGTAGTAAAATAAAACCTTTATTTGCAGGATTAATTGTTTATCAAGTCTGGGGTTGTAAGGGTCCATCAAGGGTGTTCTCAGAGGAAAGCAATACAACAGATCCGTCTTTTGCCATAAAATTGCTTATAAAGCTATTCAACGTCTGCACTTTAAAGCATTTCTGGAGAACCTTACTGATGGCGAAAAAGAAGACAGAATCATAGAGCTTGCAGTGATATGTCAGATGCCTTTCATGACAAAAAGTACAAGTACAAAAGGTTCATCATTGATGCATCTTCAAAGTCACATACATTTGCTTTTTGGACCATGTATATCAAAATGACCGCGGTATAACTACTCTTTTTATATTTACCATTGTAATTGTATGTTCTTGTAGGGCAAAAGATTGTGTAACATGCACGGTGTAGAGATTTGGGAACTTTAGCAATGAGTACAACAAGATTCCTGCATTGTATGGTCCTGTGCTGACATGACAAACTCGCAGTAGCTTCCCATTTCAGCAGATTTCAGTCCTGGACATCATTTAAAGGTATGAACTAATTGGTTGGTAGATGAAAAGTATTATTCAGTCTTAGGTAAACATTGATTATTTACTGGCAAAACATGCTCAAGAAATGGCTCGTAATTAACAGTTATGTAGACTATGGAGTGCAAATACTTTCATTTAGGTGTGTGATTTGTTGAAATGTGTTCATAAGTTTATTTAGAAATCCCACATGATAGTGAGTTCAAATGGATCGTGGTCGAACCAGGTACAGGCGACTTTGTGGTAATAAAGCCCAGACAAGCAAAGGGAGTATCTTCTCATCCAGACAGTTCAACTAACGAAGAGCGACCAGCCATTGATGAACAGCAAGTTGGTACTGATCCAGCTGATAGCTATTTGTTTTCCTGCCCAGAAGACAGCTGCATAAAATCCTATATGTCTCATGGGCATCTGCAGCAACAACTGATGTATGGGAGACAATTTTCAACAAAACCAGAATTTCCTTTATTGGACAGGGCAAAGATAAGCTACGCAGACCCTCTGGAAGAGGAGAGAGGGGGACAATCATTAATTACAATGTCGACAGAAGTGGGTACAACGTCTGTTTCAGAAGGATGGGCTGGTCGGGACCCCAAAAGAACAGGCCACCAGTTCAGTGCAAAACAGAGAACATTCCTGGAGAACAAATTTAACAATGGTGTAAAAACAGGTGTGAAGGCTAACCCAGATAACGTGTCAAAGGAAATGCGACAACTGAAAGATCAAAATGGGAAACAAGTCTTTACCGTTGTAGAGTTTCTTCGTCACTAGCAGATATCGTCGTTTTTTTTAGAATGGCATCAAAGAGAAAAGGTGCCACAGAATCGGATGACGAAGCAGAATTCACGAGGCACCAAGCTGTGGTGAACGCAAACATGGTAGAAACTTTAAAGCAGGATGTAGCTCATCAGTGTTGTTTTCAGGCAAAAGCCTGTGCCAAATGACACAAGAAGAAATCAGCAACCTGAAAATCACCCAACTGTGTTCCATGACCAGTCATTTTGGCATCAGCGTTAAAGGGTGAGCGAAGGCGGTATATTCTGATGCCATGATTGCATACCTAAATAGGTGTTCTTGTAAGCACATCCATAACTAACACGAACTACTACTACTATGTGCCTGCTTTGTACTTCTTTATGGTATGTTATATTTTTAACATTCTACATGTGTTGATCTAAAAGATATCAACATTACCTCAATAATACTCATAACAACAATTACATGTTAAAAAAGAGATTTTTTGACCTATCATGACATTTGTTTGAAATTTTAAGTCTCATCACCAGTCTTCTTGCGCAAGTAGCTGGGATAGCACTCAAGAAAAAGTCGCATTTTAGGGATTTCACAGGCATTTTCTTGCAAATGAAAAAAATGTTGCCTGCAGAGGTTTATATGCTAAAACTACACCACCCTTGGTATGTTATGAGAGTTAACAGTCTAGACCAATATCATTTACGTTGATGTTTTTGGTGATTTTTGAGCAATTTTTCAATTTGGCCTTTTTCTGGTTCTGACAGGCAAAAAAGGGGTATTAAAGTAAAGGTGCCTCAAATTAAAAATTTCAATTTTCCAAGAAAATAAGGTAGTTCGTTTGATCAGGCATGTGATAGACTTTATTCTGACAAAGTTTCAAAATTGCGGATTTTGGGCCGATTTCCAACTTTGCTTGAACATTACAGGCAATGCCTCTTAAACCAAACCAAAATGTTTATCTTTGAAATTATGTTAGAAGCATGGATGGGTAGTAAATATTCCATCCGTCACCCTGACATTACATATATCTTGTCTTTAGCTGCAATTGTCCCCCATCAACAGTGGAAGTGGAAAGATCTTTCAGTTTAATGAAATTGATCTCCACTCAACTTCACAATCGACTCACGCCAGAGAACTTGAGTCACTGCATGCATATTTGCAATTCCATCGAGAGTTAAGTGATGAAGATTTCAATTTGATTATGTTGTGATAGTTGGATGCAAATGAAATGAGTGAATCCAGAAAAGTGTCTTCCAGACTTCAAACAAGAAGATGTGTGGATACTCTGAAGCTACTACTGAAACAATTAATCTTATGTTAAGTTTGTCATCGCTCAACTCTAATGTTCCATTAAAAACCTGTTTTTCTGTATAATTTTGTTCAAAAAGCTGTCGAAAACTGTATCAATTCTGACACACAACATCTCGTAGAGGAATGCTCATGCACACTATAAATGTGTACATATTACCAGATATTATGTATCAATCAGTTCGAAACTTCACCATCCCCCCTCCACCCCGGGCATACCCAGGGAATTTGACTTCAAGTCTTCTCCAGGGAGTAGGGAATTTGACGTTCTAGGCCTTCCATGTGGTGGGGCATTTGATAACGGGGTGGGGAATTTGAACTGGAAGTCTTAAAATTTTGCCCGTTTTCGCGTGCTTCCTGCATGCACGAAAAATACTTCGCATTGGCGGCAAATACAGTTTTCTCAGATTTCGAGGGAAACGGTCTCAATTTTGTGGAAAAACTGGCTCAAAGAAATGGGCATGGAAAATCTATGTCTTTCATTTGAAGGTATGTACTACATAATTGTGTAAAACTGTTAAATTTCCACAAGGTATCCAAACTTTTTACGTGAATTTCGCTATCTTGTCGAAAAACATTTCCGTATATTTTGTACTTTTTGTATTTACTGTTTCATAATTTTCATATGAAGGTGGGGCATTTGAACGCTTAATTTCTTGCTACAGTGGGGCATTTGAAGACATTTTTTGCACAGGGGGTGGAGAATTTGATCAGTCAAATTTCAAAAAGTTCAAATTCCCGGGGTCGGCCCTGGGGGGGGGGGGATGGTGAAGTTTCGAATTGATCGATACATTACCGGAGGTATGAAGGGGTGTGATACCCCTATAATTTTGAGAAATAGTCCAAAAATTCGGTCCCAAATGAACCATTTGTCGGTACCGATTGTCTGGTGAAAACATTATGCAAAATTATTGTTTCCATGAAATTTATTTTTGGACAGTGTCTGAAAAATAATAAGTAAGGTTTAAAAATTGCTAATTGTCATTATACACTGTCTGAATCAACTTCCTTTCTGTGTTCTACAGCCAGCTAATTGCCAAACTATAGAAAAAGCAGTATGCAAATTTGTGAGATAAATCTTGGTCACGGAGTCATGGTCGCTGCGAGCTTCATCTTACTACCAGTGCTTGTAGAAAATACAAATGTTGCCTCATCACTGTTGAATTGGTTGTCATTCACTTTGAATATATAAAGCGGGTCTTTTTGTCAAGCAAATTTTTGAGTATCTGAACGGCTTCAAAACTGTGTTCGTCAGGGTGAAGTTCCTTGCACACTTTCTGTTTGACATTTTTCGGCAAGCTGCTGTTAAGAAGAGTGTCAGTTAAATATTCGATTTCATCCCATGCTTGACCATGTTTAATTGCTTCTGAAATTAATGCATTAACAGCTCTTTGAGGCTTCATTGCTGGATTGGCTTCAAACTTTTTCTTGAGAGCAGCAACAGCAGATTCGGATTTCTTTTTTATGACAACAGGACATGTATGACAGCGATAGGAACAAACCTGCACAGTGGGCTAGTCGACACATCCCTTTAAATCCAAAACGTTTAGAGGGCATATATCTCTTCCATTTACAACCGTCAACAGAAAAATGCATGCGATAATTTGCATCAAATGGTAACTCGTAAACTGAGTTTCCATCAATGTCAGGTGGGAGAGTTGTGTATTTTGTAATAGGAACATCTTCCCAAACCTCAGGTGTTAATTTGGTTGGGGAAACATTCTCTCGTTTACCTTTTCCCAGGTCGCTATCAGTGTTAGAGTTGTCAGAATAAGTAGTATTCATACATTCATGAGAGTTTTCTGATTCTGAATCTTGCTTGCATTCCTTCGGTGGTCTGCCTGGAGTGCCTTCTGAATCCGATGGCACAAGAATGGTGCTTTCTCCTTTAACAGGCGAGTCAAGAATAGTCACTTTGCCTTTGATCGCATGCATGTAGCTTGGTAGCAATAAATTGTTTGACCAAATTTAGGTCTTGTTCAAATCAAGAAAGGCAAAGCATGTACACCCTATGTATACATGAGAAAATATGAAAAAGCAAACAGCAAGATAACTTCAAAGATAACTCCAAATCCTGGCTAGAAATAATGGGCACCCTTATATAGATACCCCAACACCCCAATCTATCAATTTCCTGTTTGTAATACAAAATTACTGAAAATTGCAAATTTCGCAGGGCTATATTATCCGCATTTTACAACATTTCGCAACAAAACTTTGGAATATTACTAATTTTGTGATGCTCTTTCAAGCTGTGATGAAATTTTTGTCTAGACTTGTCTAGATCAAAATTATAGTTATAAGGTTAAAGGTCCAAACACACAATGAATTTGCTTTGCTTGTAAATTTGTTGTAAATTTAGATATAAATTTGCCATTGAAAATTCATGTGGCAAAGGCGTTAGTAATTTCTTGCAAAGCCAATATATGCAATGAATTTGTTTCGCTTGCAAATTTGTTGTAAATTTAGATATAAATTTGCCATTGAAATTTCATATTGCAAAACCGTTATTAATTTCTTGCAAAGTCATGAAGAGTTAAAATTTGTAATAAATATGCAACAGATTTGCTTCGCTGGCAAATTTGTTGTAAATTTAAATATACATATGCCACAGGAAATTTTTTATGGCAAAGTCATTATTTACTTTGCTGGCAAATTTGTTGTAAAGTTACAAATAAATTTGCAGATTGTGCAAAGCAGCTTGCAAATTTGAAGTAAATTTAGTGGTTGCAAATCTAAAACACTTCATATGCAAATTTATTGCAAAATTAGTTATTGAATTTGCAACTAATTTGCAAGTGTGCAAATTTTTTGCAAATCTGTTTTTTCGTCCAGTGTTAAACTGGGGTTGTTAATATGGAAAGATGAGACTGTTTTTGATATATCATCAAATTAAGGAGCAAATTGGCATTTACTACTGATAAGTATACTAGTCACTAACATTATCTTTGTTGCTATCATTGGCATTAATTGTCCTCATCCCTGTCTTCATCATCTTCATTTTCTAATTCAACAAGGGCTGACAGAGATTTAAATAGTTTCTTTTTGTGATCGGTCAACCATTGGCTATGCATGACAATGTCCAGTTTTTCCAGTGGAGACTTTGTGATTCAATGAAATGATTTGTATTCCTTTCCAGGTTGAAAGGCGAATGGCTTAATTTTATGAATGGTTTCTATCATTTCTCTTTCATAAGCCTACTTGTCTGCATGCATATGAGCTGTGGATTCTGCTGACAAACTTCTTTGTACCACTTTTAAAGTTTTGTTTGCACATAATTCATTCGAACTATCTTTGTTGTTCCTCACAATGTCCTCCATTTTCAGGTCTTTGGCATAGTTGTTTCCTGCTCCACCTTTGTGGTTGACAAACTGTCCATAAATTATTTGATGCACTACTCTTGGGGTATACAATCCTTTTGTCATGGTTATGAATTGCATAGCTTCAAATGCGTATTTTATTCCTCTCAACCAACCTCTAAAACACAGCATAAGTAAGCTAACCTATTGCTGGGCCATATTAAAATTTGACTGTCTTCATCTTATCTAATTCAACACTGATGTTATTTTTATTGCTGTTTTATCTTTCAATTACAACAACATTCCCATCAGATACACCAACTTGATGATTTTACCCTGCACAATATCATTGTCCAATAACATTGTGTGTACCATCCTTGTGTGTACAAATACCATGTCTGTTCCTAGACCAGGTTTTATTTTAGATTCATTTAACCATTGGTATGTATCAGTCATAACAGTTTAATGTTTAGGATATCATATAATGGTCGAGGCAATATCACTTTAATCGCATATGGGGCGAACATTTATGATGTTGTCCTGAAAGTGATGAAACTGTTCCTCATCCCAACTACACTATTAAAATTGCAGGACAGAAAGCGATATCAGTGACATATCCTTTTTTTGTCACCCTGATAAAAGGCACAAAGTATCAGGGACAAAGTTTGTGTTAACTACTGAAGCTGAGGCGGATAACCGGTCTAAAACACAGGTTGCAGGTCACAGCTTCATGTAAAAAACATGCCTGTTTGCGTGTTGCAAAGAATAGTGTATCGCAATAGACAATTCCTATTATAGATTAATTCTAGGCAAGGATATGCAAATAAATCGCTACAGCTAGAAAGAGCATACTGAAATGAGTAAAATTGCAAAGTTTGGTTGCAAAATGTTGTGAAATGCATAAGATATAGCCTTGTCCTTGCAAATTTTGTATACTTTTGTATCGCGTGCAGAAAATTATACATAATTTGCAAACTTTGCAAGGCTATATTTTCTGCATTATACAACATTTCGCAACCAAACTTTGTAATTTTACTCATTTCAGTATGCTCTTTCTAGCTGTAGTGATTTATTTGCATATCCTTGCCTAGAATTAGTCTATAATAGGAATTGTCTATTGCGATACACTATATTCTCTGCGACACACAAACAGGCATGTTTTTTACATGAAACTGTGACTTGTAACCTGTGACCTATGACCCGCCGGCGGATAACAACTGTCGCTTGATACCAATCCTTCATATCATCCAAAACCGAATTCATTAATAGCTTTATTATTTAGTTACTAAAAATATATGCATAAAGTAACTCCCCCCACCTTTAGAAATTTCTCATGAAATATTTGATGATTAAATAAAATAGTGCAGGTTGCTATGACTATGATATGAGATTATTTTTTAACTTAAGAATGTTATATGCATAACACCAACACAGAAAAAATAAAGATTACTAGATTGCACTGATATCCTAAGAAATAGATTCAGTTCCAAAATATCACATACTCAAACAGACCTGACCGCGTAGCTCAGTTGGCAGAACATTGGGCTAGTATTCCAAAGGTTGTATGTTCGATTCCCACTGTGGCCAGGCATATTTTTCAAGCATTCCCGGTGTGGATATACACTCAGAGTAACATAATAAACACACATAAAAATACAACTGATGCACTGTGAATTACTGGAGTTAATGTACCCCACTGGAATTAGCAACCCAGAAAATAGTTGTTATTGTCTGATGTGATGGGAAAATGCCTGGATATAAAAAACACATATCCAAAACTCCTCCATTAGTTCAATCTTATTTAACAGTTCGCTTTGAAAATTTCGTTTAAGCCCTTTAGTAAGTCGCTTATAATCTTTTTAGTAGCAAAAAACTTATGTCTTAAAAAAGGATCATTGGGGTATTTTGAGAGTAAACTACCCAATTTTTAAAATTCCTTCTTTAATAGGTAACAACTCGTGTTAAACTATTTCTGTTTTTGGATTGTGCGCTTTCGTTTCTTTTTTGGTGTTTGCCTATTTCTAATTTTTACGACATTTCTCAAAACATTAACTATAACGTCAGTAAACTTGCTCACTACCGAATCAGTCTCATTTAATGATTCAAGTAAAGTATTCACCTCACCTGAAACATTGCTATTAATAAAATTTTCACAATGAGTATTTTTTAAGTCGTCACTCCAAACAAATGATGCAGGCAGTAGGAGCAATTCTGAAGTTTCTCCTTTATCTACTCCCAATCGAGGCTCCGCTTCTAATGCAAAAGAAAGGAAGCAATGATGCAAGAATTCTGTGGTATTTGACACACTAAAATGCTTGATTGATTGCAAAATCTCTGAGGATACCATAGTATAGTCGACCACACTAGCCCCATTATATGTGTGGCAAGTAAACTGACCTATATAATCTCCTTTCATCCTGCCGTTTAAAATAATCAACTCATTCCCACAACATAACTCAGCTAATGCTTTCCAATACGTATTAATATGAATGTTCCTTGACTTATGTGGTTCAATTGAGCTAGTAAGAACTGTCATTGGAAAGGTTACCCCATCCATTTCATGAACATAGTTGTCTAAAGTATCTAATCTGGCATTGGGATCTCCACATAAAATGTTTCCTGATTTTGAAAATTTATAAATATTTTCTTGTAATAACTCAAAATGGCCACAGACTAATCTCTGTTCTCTAGGAGAGTTCTGTGGAGGAATATATACACTGCAAACATACAACAGATCTTGCTTCATATGAAAAATCTTTCTCCAATTTCCATCATACAAACTCCTCACTACCTTCCTTTTCCAAAAATTTAACCCCTTTTCTTAGCTCAGATTTTATCAACATGGTAATATCACCTGAATTCCTATTAGCTCTTTCAGATTTTTGCCTCAATTTTGAAAAAGAATAGAAACCTGGTAAATTCACTACACTAGCATCGTTTAACCAACTTTCGACTAGTGAAATACAATCAAACAAATTAATTATAGACAAAAAACTTCATCATGTAACTTTCCAGAAAGACCCTCAATGTTCCAAGAACAAAATTTTAAAAACTTTTGGACCTCCATGAAGTAAAATTGGCCTAATCAGTCAAAATTAAAATAAAATTAAATTAAAATAATAACTAGGGATCCAAGGATAGTGTGAAGTTTCAAATTGAAAAAGACACTGCAAAAACTATATATGGTCGCCGACAACCTAGATAAGCTGATGCCGTACACTGCAAAATAAACAGTTACCAAAGGCATTTCATCTCAACTATTGACAGTATTGTTTTTAATGTGTTCGGCACATGAATAGCAAGACGTTTTAAACAACTGGCTAACACATAAAAAAATGTCGTGCCTCGTAGAACTGACACAATTTATTTATTTATTGTGATGCTACAAGCGACAACTCGAAATTTAAATTGTTTCAGCAACAACCAAATTTGGCATATTCTAAAACTACATTTGCTTTGGGAGCTGTCGCTAAAAGCATCCCCACGAAGCTACTGATATGCTAAACCTATTTAAAACTAGGATTATTCCCATGATCCTTTTAGCACCCATATTATATTTGACTATTGTCTCAGTGACAACTTTAAGAGGAGAATTTTTTCTATGTCACATATTTTCGATGAAAAGCGCTCAAAACTTAGTGACCGCGCACATCAACACGGATTTGCTGACGTTGCAAGAAAAGGAGCGGGAAAATTAAAACAGTCTTTGAAAAATTGCAGCAACGAGAGAAAAGTTTTATTTTTGAAAAGGTAAGCGCCAAACAGGTGGGAAATTTGTCGTCGCTGACCAAAAAATCGCGGGCAGAAACAAAGCTCATTGCATTTACATTCAAAACAAAGCAGAAAGTTAGCAAGAAGCTGTTTTAGCTGGCGATTTTTTGCTTTCCATTCAATGATTTACAAATTAACGGTCATTCTTTTAAAAGTCGACTATGAATTCTTTGTTTTGGGATGATTTGTTTTGTAATCGAGTGATTGGAAGAAGGTTAATATGGCGACGTGAACATGGGAGTAAATACCGTATACGTCGATCTGTGGCTTATTTAAAACCGTAATAAACAAAGAGAGACGTTATATGAGAATTAAATGTAAGTTGAAATTAACTTTATATGCCTCAAATTTTCCATCCTATGTTTCTTAATGTAACTTCAGCTCAATTTCAAAAGAAAAATAGCTAAATGAAAAGAAAAAACTTTTCGGCGTTTGTAGGTATCAAACATATCGTCAGGAAAATAGGGGCTCACAATGTTTTAGCTGAGTCTTTGAGACCCAGATGCTTCGCACGTGTTGTGGTCAACATTTTTGCCAAGAATCAAAGGCCGAAATGTGAACTTCATGAAAACCGGCTTGAGAAGGGCCTAGTTTGAAAATTTAGCTATTCATTTCGATTTCATGAGCATATTTTGGTCACATGTTAAATATTTTTGTACTTGATGAGATTCAAAATTTGTTGTATATTCAAGCCCGGCTTTAGTGTAATTTTGGCGATGACCGGAACAGAAATAAAGATATTTTAAAAACTGGTCGTGGCCTCACGATAAAACTTTCTAAAAATGTTCTCTGTTTTATGTATTTTTATTTGATATCTTTGGTATAGGCATAAAAATAGGGGCTCATACAGTTTACGAGGTTGTAAAATGCATGACTTGCCCCTAGTTTCATTTAAACATTCAAAATTTTTTGACAGCAAAGTAGCAACTGTTTCAGATCGAATGCACACGGACAGCCCACCAGAGACAATGGCAGGGTACTGAAATAGAACGTCACTAAAAAATTCTGTATGATTAATTTTAGATCATGTCCATTTTCAACATAAAACAGTCATTTATTTTGTACAAACATTTGGCAATATTTACATGATTGTGCCTTTTGCAGAATCTTCACTTTGATCTCCGCACACACTGGTTCACACACAATAACATTCAGGGGACTGTATTCTATCGATTTATTTCATTGGAAAGAGTATCTCGTCTCGCTACGAAGAGACTTCCTCGTCTCGCTACGATCTGATCACAACTGAATTTACATATTTGCCTCAATCAATGTTGGTATTAAATTACAATGAATCACTATGACGTATTTTAAGCAATACTATATACATATTTGTACATTAAGTAGCAGAAGCAACTGCTGTGCGGGAAACTGGCGGCACTGCGCTGGGAACTTACAACACCCCACCCACCTTGATTCATAAAGGATTCATCTATGAATCAAGCATCGCCCTTGTCTTCGCTTTGGAAATAACTGCAGTAGCTCGTCTTGGACACTCATGCAAGGAACCTTCTGACTCAGCTGAAGGGGAATTCCCTTCCTTCCCTTTCCCACCCGGTCGAGCTTGAATCTCTAACGGGTAAAGTTTCTGGACCGGTCTTTTCAGGTAAACTGGTCTACCCTTCCCTGCAACTCTTACTTTGGCTCCTCTAATTTCCTTGTCCTTTCCTATAATTAGTTCTTCTACTTTCGCTAATTTCCAATTACCTCGTTTCTCTCCCTCTCCATACACTGTCACTACATCTCCCTTCTTCACACTCTTTCTCGCATTTTGACTCTTACATTTATGAAATTCTCTCAACCCTGTCAGGTACTCACTTTGCCACCTCTTCCAGAAATGTTGTAATTTCAATGTAATATACTTAAGAGGGCTTGTCAGTAAATATCAAACAAGTCTGGCCAACCTTCAAAAATCGTTTTAGCTCGTATTTCCAGGAATGATAGGCCTAAGTATCCCAAGAATTGCTGTATAGCTAATTTGATCAAACATTGCTTTTTAGAGGAGAAATTCGCATTTTTTCGAAGACGGTTGGAAATGCTATTTTTAGCCCCTACAATTGACTGCACTTTAGCGGCTTCAACCCAAGAAAATACTGATTCTATGCACATAAAACTTACCTCAGTCTACTAGTACAATTCTCACTCGACAGATTGTGCGACTTTGGTGTCAATAGAACAATTCTGACCTTTGAAATTAATCTTATTCGCAAGACACGTAAAACGAGTCGATAAAAGTATGTTTTACAAAAATTCATGTTGTGAATGTGCTTAATCTTTGAATGCCTTGAAACGTTGGTGATCTCAAGTCTAAATAATGTTCTTTTGAATGATATAAAGATTACTTTGGGCAAATGATTGTGCGTTACGCTATTGCTTCCCAAAGTTGGGTCATATTGCTCACCTTTGACACGTGCCGTCACTTTACACAAGACAAAATCCATGTGTTTATTGTATAAACAAAAGGGTCTCAATTGATATTTGTAACATTTAAATCAAATCAGTAGTATTAAGAACAAAGTACTTACATTTTTAGTTCTGAAAGTACTCCAAAGTAGCATTTAAACTGTGTCTTTTTTATACAAAACATCTCATAAATACTCCTGGCCTGTCAAAATGTCAACAGTTTTGAAACAGTATATCCTATCCATATCAGGTTAGTGTGTTTTCTGACCATCGGAGTCCGTTACAAGCACTGATTTTAACTGAAATTATTCATATCATTCAGCAGTTACATGAAAAAACGAAAATGTAAATGAATCTAATATATTTTTACTATAAATATTAAAATAAACAACAAACCAATCTTTGCAACGTAACTTCCTCTTTAACTTTCTTCAATTTCCTTTTGTGAAAATTTTCATTCAATGACTATTTAATATTTTCCCTTAAAATCTCTCAGATCGCGGAAACAACAGATCGGTTAAGAAGGAGCTTTACTTTTTAAATTTCTTCAAAAACATTATTATACAATTACTATACAAATACTTATATTGGGTTCTCTGTAGTACGATGAAATCGTACTAAACAATTTTTGAGGACCAAAGTTTGAGGCTTAAATTTGTGAATTGCACGTACATGATTGGACTAAGTTCACTAACATATCTACATATGGCTTCTTTCTTTTCTGCTTCACGCCAGATATATCTAGTTCAAAATATATAGTTCAAAATATCTACATATTACTTGCAGCATTGCTATTGAAAATTTGGGGAGCTTGGAAGTTGCCACCATTTCACAGATGTTGTATGAGTCGTAGATAATTGGATGGTTAAGGGAAATCTCGTTTAAAATCTCATCTCGAATCCGGTGATACTCCTTCTCTGACGATAAGTCATCGTCATTATCATTGTCGTCCTCATCATCATCATTATCACTTGTACTATTGGCTTCTGGAATAGATTTCTTGGACGACAAACGAGAAAATTTAAATAGAGATGATCCATCAGTATCTCGCGCTTTTCTCATTGACTTAGAGACATCGTCAGGGTCTGCTTTCTGGCGAGTCTGTTCGCCAAGAAGAAATATGTCAGTCAAGTACTTCTTTTGATTCTTTGTAAGACCGCGACGGCTAGCACTACTTTTTAATGCCCATCCTATTGGTGATGGCTGAACATCTAATGACTCACTTGATCCTGAAGCACTCTCAATAATCTGGTCAATAGCTGACTCTCCGCTTTCAAGGTTTTCAGCATATCTAAGCATAGCTTTGTCAAGAAGGGATTCTCTCTCCAGAGCGTACTTATGCTTGCCAATATCCAAGTG